TCAGGAATTGTGTGCAGATGCTCCGTCTGAGGGATGTACTATTTTCAGGCTTCTGGGATATGAAAAGGATGGGGATCTCTCAATTTTTTTTCAAAGTTTCTGAAAAATAAAGTGAAAAACCATCGCTTGATGGTAAGTGTTTGCAGGGTCCTAACTTTTGATCAATTTAAGTATCTTTGGAAGTTACTCAAGAGCGAGAAATAATTTTTTTTTGTCTAGATCATGTGTGATCACAGTCTCAATACTTAAATCTTACGTTCGGATTTCCTTTTTCCCTATTTGTAGTGATTTGCAAAAGATCTGTCTCACTGGAAAAAGGCAAGAGAGCGGCGATCGCAAAGCAGTGCTGAACAGTGACACCGAGTTGAATAGTGAAAGTTTACCGTTCATTGTTACTGCTTCAAATGGAAAGAAAGTTTCCCAAAAACTTGGAAGAAGAAGAAAGAGCACTACTTCAGAAGGAGACAAACCAGATAGTGTAAAAAATCGCCAAGATGTAATCCGAACCGCGCCCGAATTAGCACAAGATCCCATTCTTCCCTGTATGCCTTCCATTCCCGACCTTCCGCATAAAGTGGACGACAAACTGATTTCACACCCGGTCAAACATACACCAGAGGACGATTCGAAACGATTTCACAAGGAACGAATCCGGCTTCCAAAGTTTCAATGGACGGAATGTCACGTGAAAAATAACCGCATAGCAACAGAGAAAACTGCTGTCCCTGTTAAAGTGGAAATGAAGGAGAAACCGGTGGAAGAAGCGTTACAGAGTAGTGATAGCGATGAGAACGCTATAATCACAGCTCAGAAGTTTAATTCGAAAGGAAATCTGCATATAGGAGGTTTCGTGCTAACCGCACCAAGCTCGAAACCAAAGCCAGCGCACGTTACAGTTGGAAAGTGTGAAATATTTAGCTCCACGAACTCGTCAGGTGGAGAGCGTGTCCGCAAATCTTACGAAACTGCAAGAAAACTTCCATGTGAAACCGCATTTATTCGGGTTTTAGGTCATCAAACAGGCCCTCCGCCAAAAAGTACAAGTAAAAACGAATCCAAGGATGCTAGTAAAGAAAGACCGAATACAAAGGACAGAGCTCTCATGAACCAAAATTTGCCGATTCAATACTTGACTCGATTTGGCAGACGGAAATTTCATCATGTTTTGGAGGCGCGTTCGTTTAAACCTTCGGAAAAGAAACTTGGAGCCCCAGCGCTAGCACATTTTCATCACTGATTGAAGGAGGTAGTATACTCAGGGAAAAGAAACGACATGACTCTGAATAAATCTGCCAAATAGTGCAGGGACCTGAGAGCAGTTCAATCTCCATTTTATCCCTATCGCCGTTTAACCCAAGCGTAGTCCGTCAATAGAACCTCTATCGCAGCTTAAGCTAAAAATGAGAAATTTAATATTTTCATAACACCATTAGAGTATCTCCGTTTTTACGCCACTCACCAGGGGCTTAATTAATCACATTCTACCAAAATGAAAATGAAGGGCAGAGATGAAGGTTGGAAAATTTACTACGAGTCAAAACGTCGTCATTTTTCTTATGAAGTATTCGCCAATTTTCAAAAAGTTTTATGGTTGGTATCTGTCAAACTTGGAACATAAAAACTTATGTTCCCTGTGGGTGATTTTACAATATTTTTTACCAGTGAGCTATTCTCCTGTTCGCGATTGTTTGGGGGTGGGGGATAGCGTTATGCACCGGGCATAAATCGCTTAAACTCTCCGCCACATCTTCGGGGAAGGAGGTCCAGGGAAGAAATTGATATTAAAAGAATAAAAAATTTAACAAGCTTAAAAATAACTCTCTATCTGTTATCGTATTTATTTATAACGGAGATGTAATATAAGTACAAGAAATTTTCATTTCAAGTGTTTTGGAAAACAAGCATATAATTGAAGTGGAATTATAACTGAAGTGGAAGGTATTTGACTCGTCTTTTCCACTATGTGAAGAAGAACAGAAATAACACCAGTCATAAAAGTTGTGGTTTGGGGTTCATTCAAGATCTCTTATTTTGTTTAATATTTAGTGATGTTTAAATAAAATTTAAAGTTGAGAAATTGTGCCTGTTGTGTTGTGTTCAAGTGTATACACATGAATAAGGAGGGTAACTTTATGAAGAAACTGTGGTGCGGCGTCAGTTGGAATAAGTTGGTTTTATCAGTAGCATACGCAAGCTTTGCCCCAGGGTCTGCTCGATACACACAACTTTCCCCAGTTCCCTGCTCCTTAGAGTAAACATGGTGGACATTCGCATGTTGTTCACTTTGTGATGCAGATTAGTCTTTGGGCAGCTTTTGTTCTCGTTCGTAGCTGTTGTTTCTTTAATCTAACTTGATGACACATTAGAGGCCAGCCTCTATTGTAATTCGCTGTTAGAGATCGTTTGGAATCACTATTCAAAGAATGTGGCTGAAAAAGGTCATCAAACTATCCTGAGCGTTTGGAAAATAACGGTTGTTATGGTACACCGCAGCTGCGTGTGAACTAAACTATCTGGGAAAAAGCAAGATCGCTGAATACCTCGATGTTGTCGGTATAAAGAAACGGAAACATCACCATTGCCTGCGACCTGTAAGCTTATTTCATTGAACGGTTGCTAAGTGAGGCTTTTGCACAATCGTGATCCACCAAAAGTTTCGGAACAACCAAGTGGTTTTCTTGGCGAAAATATTGGTTTGAACCAGTTGTACTTTACAAGAATTAATGAATACGTTAATGCTTTTATCTAGACCATTGAGAACTGATTTGTTAAGTACTCTTGAGTAAATTGTATTTACATACACAATGAACTCCTCGCGTCAAATAACTCAATATTCCGACGTTTAGATGCATTTTTAAAGATTGATTACTAGTTATTCTGTTTGTGGTTATTGGATTTGTGTTTCCAAACGGTGAAAACCTTTGAAAAAAGCAGACTAACATTTTTCTACAATGTCACGAATGAGGACTGGTTTGAGGCCAACAGTACCTACGAGACATTCTCCAACTAAATTTCCCCCTGTTAGCAATGGTTTGAGGTCAAGCTCTTTACCAGGGAGCGCTAACAGTAGAGAACCAGAGTGGGCCAATGATATGGTGAGAGGGATTCAATTAAAAACAGCATCTAAGACACCTTTGGTGGCAGCCCATTCTCCTAGAAAAACTCCAGTAGGCCTAGAGGAGGTTAAAGCAACTACCTCAGTAAAACAACATGGGGAAATGACATTTTCCAGTTCACAGCAAAGTATGCGGGAAAGTGCCAAGGATAAAGAAATTGAGGTAAACTATACACCATTCATCATTTATTAATGGGAGGGGGTGGAGAGGGAGGACTGATACACAGCTGTCTGGGTTGCAAGCTTCTGTGGGGGCACAAAAGCTTATTTCCCAAAAAAGTCTTGATAAGAGACTTTCTCCCTGCCTTGTTGGCTCTAAAGAGTACATTCTCCCTGAGGTTTTTGAGAATAAGGTAAATAATACTCTTGGACATTTTCACACAGTAAATATATGCTTTACAAATTATTGCTGGTTTTGCACCAATGTTGAGGAACTATCCATAATAGTACTCCAAGAGCATATCTTGGCATGAGAGAATATCAGGCTGATTAAAACTCCAAACAAACAAACTGTAATGCTTTTGTTTTGTAAACAGATAGCAATGTTAAATCTTTTTTTCTTCAAAGTATCACTTTAAATTGTAAATTAAATTGATATGGAAAGGTAATCTTAATTGCTAAATTTTTTATGAGTATCAATTTTGGTACTTTCATCTTTTCCAGAAACTGAAGTTAAAAATCTTATCACTTCAAAAGCTCATCGAGCAGCTGCGTGCTGAAATAAAGGAGAAAACCCATAAAATAACAGAATTGGAGGAGAAGCTCAAATCACAGGTAAAGGCTTCACTTAATACCTGGTAAGAGTCAGAAGGATAGGTTAGGAAAGATGTTTAACATTTGTTTAGAGCATGGAATAATGACAAATGTGAGTAATTTTCATGGTTTTTACCAACTTCAGAAGTTATGATCAGGTGGTTTACTAGCTGATTGGCATAGATCTCAATGGTGAGATACATCATTTACTGGGGAAAAACGGAGAATGCTTCATCCAAGGGGGACATAAATATATTCAAGACTTTGTTTTGGTCAGAAAACAAATGAATGTTTCTTTACTGTTGTTAGTTTTTTAACTTTGTACAGTAATGTTTCAGTTTTTGTTTTTTGTTCTGCCAAAATGACAGAAATGAAAGTTAAATAGAATATCTAGAGGGTCACCTTTAAATTCAATATATCACAAAATGCTGGATGAATACTATTTTCCTTACTTAAAAAGAGACTACCTTGTTCTCTGTGTTAGATGATCTAGAGGCCTATTCTCTTCCCTTATTGACCTTGATGGTGACAGTTATAATGAAAGTGATGATATTTACTGTACTGTGATGATAGTTACTGTAATGTAATGATATTTACTGTAATGTAATGATATTTACTGTAATGTAATGATATTTACTGTAATGTAATGATATTTACTCTTGTTTCATTGATAGGAAGCTGATTTTGAAGAAAAGATCAACAAAGTAAAAGCCATTATCAGTGAAAAGGAGAAAGAACTCAATGAGAAGACAAAAGTTATAAAAAACAAAGATTTAGCAATTAATGAACTGAAAGACAGCTTTCAGAAAGAAAAGGAAGATATTACAAAACAAGTAAGAATAAAAACATTCTTAAAGTATAAATCATAATTACAGAATGTTAGTGGCTTATTGTGTGCTTTTTTCACAGTACGAACTTGAATTAAACAAGTTGAAAGAGCAACATCTTCAGGAGCTCACTGAGCGTGATGGCAAGATGAAAATCTTAAAGATGCACATGGCTGATGCTCTTAAGGATAATTCCCGGTATTTAATTTGCAATTTTTGCCTATAATTATGTAAATCTTTGGACTTCAACAAAAACTAATTTGTTTATAATTTTTAGGTTTTCTTTCTTGCCGGTGTTGGCTTTGCAATTTATTTAATTACAATTTTGATGTTTTACTTCGCAGGGAGAGGCAAGTACAGCTTGAAGAACTCACAAAGGAGCTTAAAAGAGTTACGGAAGAAACTGATGTGTTGAAATCCAAACTGCAGTCAATGAAATCATCAAATCAGGTACTTGGTGGATTCTTTTATGCCCTTTATTATTGTCTTCAACCCTTTCACTCCCACAAGTGACCAAGACAGAATTTCTCCTTACAATATCAATACAATATCAAGCAGGCAGGTGATGAGAATCGAGAAAAATATCAATTATGAGATTATTAGTTGATCCAATACCAAATTCTCTGAACTAACATCATAAGAATTGTATGGCAGATATTAAGGAGAATAACTAATTAGATCTTGAGAGTGAAAGGGTTAAGCTAGAGATGATTGTAGTTTTTTAATAATAAATAATAATTATGGTTTAATCATTATCCCCTTCACAGGGCGTGAAATTGTGCCTAATACAGGCATCAATGCGACTAAATTTTTCACTTTGGCGACCAAATCCTGAAAGTTAGTCGCCAAATTGGCGACTAGAACATTTCATCATAACCTTACCAAGAGATATAGTGAATTAAAAAGATTTGCAAAGATAAATCCACTGCAAACTTCCTCGTTAAGTTTGTTTCCAAAACGTAGCCCATGCATCTCGATCGATAACAAAACGCCATCTTGGATTTAGATGAGCCTGAACGTTGTTTATTGTCCATCCCAGTGTCCACTTTGTAGCACGTTAAAGATCTTTTCCCTAGCTTAATTTTGGAGGGTCTATCTAGAACACTGACAGCATAAAGAAAGATTTTGTTTGTCTTTGAAAATGGCGACCAACTTTTTTTGAATTGGCTACCACTTTGAAGAATTTAGGAGCCAAGTGGCTATCAGAAAAAAAAGTTAATTTCACGCCCTGCTTCATTATTAGTTATATTTTGATTATGGTATAATTAACAAACAGATTCCATGTTACCATATGTATGTTCAGTAAGAGATCACAGAGAAGTGAAAATGTGGTAAGATTAAAAAAGTAGCATGCAAGATGTAGCCAAGTATGACACTGATTGTACAGACCTATTGCAACATGGAATGTATAAATGTTTTATGTGATAAATAGGCAAAATTTTGTAAATGGTGACATCATTTTTGTGACTCGCCTCCAATTGATCATTAGTAAGAACCAATCAAAATACATGACTTGTATAACTCAGCTCATGTATGGAGGTACCAAAATCACCAAATTTTTTTCTCTCTCCAGACCATCTATTATTTCTTTATTTCACACTGGAAGTCAAACATAAGCTACCATATTCTAGTTAAACTGCATTTTATCACTCTTTTGTTGTAAGTTATGAATTGCTGTTTTTCTGTCTTTTAGGGCAAGTGTCCAAACTGTTTTGTAATGGAGAGACAACTCCAATCAAAAATTCTTGAACTGAGAGACAAAGAAGTTGTAACCATTGAGATGCAGCAGTTGTGTGCAAAAATGGAACAGCAACTTGTGCAACAGGTAGATATTAGGATTACCTCCAGGTGTACATTGAAAAGCAACATTCATAGAGTTGTTTCATTGGCATAGTTGTTCAATTTTGCCTCAAATAATAATTATTTTAAAACATTCTATTTACAAAGTTATTACCAATAATTTGATTCACATTATTTCTCTCATTCAAAAGGACCAACTTTTGCGTCAATGGGCAAAAAATAAAGGAAAGCCAGTCAGGTGATAAATGAGGTGAGATTTTCTTTCTTGGTCGGCCTGCCTTAGACATTCTGTATGTAAATGCTAGAAGTCAAAATAAATGTTACAAAAGTGATAGATAAATATTATCCTAATGGTAGAAATGTGTGTCACATATGAATCTAGTAGGTGGCTTAAGAAAACTCTCAGTGGTGAGGTGAAGCATTTGATTTGCATTGGTATGTTCAGGAATAGGGCCATTTCAAAGTTACAAAACACAAGCCAAAAAAAAAAAAACATGCACCAAAGGTCAATTGGTTTTAAGCACTTGAGAAGAAACACCATGGACCTACTGTCGTCAATTTGCCTCAAACTACTCACTTTGGTTTTTTCTATTTTTTTCTTAACAGATTGCATGCATCTGAAATAAATACAATTATTGACTACTTAGAAAATTTGATTGCCTATGAAAATATTTATACCCATACGGTAGCTTTTTATTTAATTAAGCAATGTATAATTTTAGGTGTGTAATGTAAAAGCTCTTTATAACTTACACTAGCGTTAAGTCTTTTGAGATTGTAACCTCTCAAATACCTATCAGAGACTTAGCTTGGGAAATTGGCTATCACTTGCAAGGCATAATGTAGACATAACTTAAGCCAATTTCCAACTTAATTTCAGTCTGTTAATAACAGGAAGTCTCTAAAACAAAGGGTTAATCTTTGTCCAGCCTTGTCTTTTTTATTGTCATCAAGATCCCACAAAAACCACTACCTAGAAAATATGCAGGATACCTTAATCACTTTTTTAAAAGGATATTATATTTTCTTCAAAGATAAGCTGTTAATTTACTTTATGATATTTATATTCTGCAAAGATGATTCTTGGGTGAAAAAGTGCAAAATATGTTTTTTTTAATTTATTTCAATAATACCAAAAAAGGAAAGACCAAATAAGGATCATATTTTGAGGAAAATTTTTTCAAGATGGTCATCCCTCACCATCCTTGAGTTATGGGGTAGGTTTGTCATATGTATATATAAATATTGGTAAAAGAATGTTTTGACAGTGTCTGGGATTTGGGAATCTGTGTGTATTAAATTGCATGAATCAGTGATAAATCTGAAGGATTAATGGGACTAGGTTGAGGCCTTCTGCAAGTCAGACAATATGTCTGATACATTTACTGTTGATGAAGTTGATCCTCATGGCATAAAAGAGGTCAGCTATTTTCATTGCTATCAGAAACTTCTTAAGTTGAGGTGCACTAAGAGCTTTAGGTGTGGTATTAAAGGGATTATTTATAAGATCAGTGTAAAATAGTCTGCAAGATTGACAATAAAACACAGGTTTCTGTCGGTGCTTCTCTTAGTTTGTGTTTAGTGCAACACCTAATGGTTTTTCTAACTTTCAAATTTATTAAAAGTGTATACTTTGTTTCAATAGCATGATTTACATGAGAAAAAGGTTTAAATTGTTTGGCTATTTTAAGCTGTTTTTGACTGTCATTTGTGTTAAGGCAATATGAACAAACTCAAAACAAAATTGCCTCTCCAGTTGACAGCTGGTAAGCAAAACAGAACTCTGGGAAATGAGAGTTTATTCTATTCAATTAAAAATCTGCAGTGGTCCAATTCCTTCAAAAAACGGATGACTGTGATTTTCTTTCATTCAGGGCTCCTTTAAGCAGGTAATTTGTTTACCCACGCTTTGCGGCTCAAGTGCGTTCCTATGGTAACAGTTATTGTGTTATCGCATATCGCATGTGAGAATTTGTCATCCTTTTGTGATAAGTTGTTCATCGTTCTTTGTACTTAGAATTCCTAATTGCAGAGGTAACGTGACAAATCTTTTGTGCCTTTGTCAACAGACAGGGTAAGATCGCTTTTTCAATTTTATCTTGTCTCGAGGGAGTGATTGATTTAGCGCTTAAAACTCTAGGTGCAAATTGCGTTTCCTTTTCCGATTTTTCTCTATTCACTGAGGTGAATGTTTTGCGATCTGTAATCACTTTTCAGGAGATTTTGCACTGGGCTCCAACATTCTAGCAGAAGGCGTCAGTCTCTAAGGTGATAGACCCAAAGGAGGTTTTGGGTACAGCCGATGGGCAATCTTTTAGGACGAAACTTTTCAGGAGGACAGTTTGCGAGGATCTGCTTGGGTGCCTCAGTCACGCTTTCGGAACACAATTTTGACGTCAATTCCAACTCAAGCAGAGAATTTTAGACTCGACAAGTAAAGTAAACGGATCACTTAACTTCGACTTACACAGTAAAAACATAAGATAGTAGCCATAGGCCATATAAACACTTGACGTTGTGATACACCACTATCGGTCACTGAACACGAGGATCGTATTTCAGTAACGACCGTGCTTCTAATAATCTCACGTTGAAATCTTCCCAGTTAGTTTGTGGTGATAATTTGATCTTCTTCCCGTGTTTAATGGCCCGTACTAATTATTATAATCATCGTTGAAGTGGAATGGCTAAGAGCCATGAGATGGAACAGTTAAATTCTAACGATTATCGCAGAAATCGCGGCGAGTTGAACCCAAACTCTGCGGAGGATAGATCACCTCCCTTTTATGACTCGGACTCTCCAAGCGGTACTCCTTCGGTTAACAGGTAAGTTAATTCAATTTTGGACAAGTCTATGTGCTAACTGAAAACATGTTTATTAAGTAATCGTTTAAAAATCACTGCCCTCTCAGTTTTTATTTGCGATCGATCTTGTACTTTTTAGGATAATACAAATTTTTTTCTTAATCACAGACATTTTTTGCCTGCAGGATTTTCTATGAAATTTACTTAGTTGTTCGTTTTATCAAATGCAATCGAAAACTTATAGTTTCATATTCTAATAGAGGCTTCGGTTTGCAGCTGCCAAAGCTACTGTCGTGTTTATCGAGAAAAGATTACTTGCGCTGTGAAAAAACAGCTGGATTTCCTCTCAACAATGTCGCCTCCCAAAACTAGAATTCAAAGGCTAATTTTAGTACAGCCACTCTTTTATTCACCTTTCTATGAGCAGGAAATGAAGCAAATGGATCAAAGCAAAGAAAATTAGTAATTTATTCAAAGAACTAAAGTCTCATTTAAAAATCATTAAAGTTGCAAAAATATTAAGTCAGAAAACAACGTTGTTTACATTTGCTCCGTCAATTTTTTTCTCAGTGCTGCAAGCCAATCAACGTCAGCGAGGTCATCTCGCTCTTCAACACTGGGTTCTGGGTTATCAACTCGCTCAGCAACAACTACAGGAAGCGATGGCGAAATTGAAGCCTTAGATAACGTTAGAGTCGTAGCAAGGTGGGTAAATTAAGTTTGGATGCTAGGTGTTTGTTTACTTTTCGGTGATAGCCCTTGTCATATTTCGTGACCATCCCACTTGCGTTCGATTTAGTTAATTACAGCGGACCATCAAATTTTTCGACAGCTGCCCTCAAAGCTCGCAAAGTTCAGTTTAGTTTTGATTTTAATCATAATTTTAATCTTATAAAGGTGATGACAATGACTACATGTATTTAATGGATGATCTTTCGGCATGATTATCCAGTCCACCATATGAATTTTGCTTTTGACTATTACTTCTAATCAGGTTGATGATAACTTTGAAAATACACATCCCTTTTTCTAGATTTTGTTGGTACTTCTCTAACCATTTTCCGGAAAATTAAATAAAGTTGCATGATTTTGGGCTCAAAAGAAAGAATATCACAAGAGATGGTAAATGGTCCTACATGAAAAGTCCATGTGAAAACTCACGAGTCTTGCAGATGCTAGTTTTTTTTAAAAATTAAATTATTCTTTCCCTAGGTTAAATTTAAGTGCTGTGGTTGGTAGAGAAAAAAGATGCAAAGCTTTCCATTAATTACCCCAAGCATGAATACTTTAATATTTGCCATTAAAAAATCATTTAATCACCACTAAGGTGGTTGAATCCCTCATAAACAAACTACATTATCTTCAGGGAATGCTCACATCAGGGTATTCATATATGAATAATTGTGTTTAGTTTGTAAGAAAAAAGATGTTTTGTGTTTACCCACTTTCCCATTTTGGGCTTGTAGCTGTGTGAACCTAATTGATTTGCTATTTTACATAGTCATTAGCCATTTTTATGCAAAATCTTAATTGCCAAATACCTGAAAGTAAACACTTAGGTCCCTAGATTTAATCTAAGGCTTTGCACTAAATTGAATTTTGAACTATTTTGTTTTGATGTCATTGCCCTTTGTTCAGAATGACAACATTTTCATTAAGTTCTACATTTATGTTAACTTTCCCAGATTATCCAAGAGCCTCCTGGATACAAAACTAATCTTACGGTCTCCAAAACAGTTTACTACAACTCTTATCTTCCATTATTTTTTTTTTCTTGAGAAGGTGTAAAACATTTAAATTTAGTCTCTTTTCAAACAAATATAGGATCTTAGTTAAGGAATTGTTGTATATTAATCTTGGGATTATGAAATAACACATACATTAGTAGTAAGTTGTGGAGAGGGACTGGGCGTAAGCAATCAACTAAGATTAAAAATTTTTAGGGGCCAGAGGAGGTGTGATCCAAAATCAGAAATCTCTAGATTGAAAGGTTGGCTTCTCTGTAACTGACCAAATAAATATCTGAAATCTCTTGTTTGGCTATCATTAGAGCACGTCCTTTGAATCTTGCTGAGAGAGAAAGAGGGGATAAAAATGTCTTGAAGCTGCCTGGGGATGGAGCTGTTTGGGTTAGTTGACCAATTATTATATATTGTTATTTTAAGTTTATAATGGAGTTAAAAATTGTAACTGATATCAAGTATCATTAGAGTTATTCTCAGTGGGGGGGGGTCATTTGTTTTTCCTTTCTTGGGGGAAGTGGTCCATTTCCATTTGAAGGGCAGATTACCAATGTAGGTCTCTGAGAATTCAAATGCTGAAGTTGAAACAAGCAACAATAGATTTTCCTTTGGATAACATAATATTTTCTGATTGGTTTAATTACAAAGAAGCCCACCCCACCTCCTGTAGACCATTAGCTTATTCCAGAATTTTACTTTGTGCCATAGGTTTTCAAAAGATTATTGTTAAATACTGTACAGTGCATCCTGAATTGTAAAATTGTCATATGATAAGATATGACCTATGTCAAGAGATTTCTAGGCCAATTTCTTATCTTTTGATTCTTATTTGGTGCAGATTGATAACAGTTTTGGTCAGATCAAGCCTTTTACCTTCAATGCAGCTTTTGGAGAAGAAACCTCTCAGCAAGACATGTTTGAAGGGTGTGGCATTAAACATTTGGTTGAGATGTCTGTGCAGGGGTTTGTATTAATTTGTTGAATACTTTAGATACAAAACATGATCAGCTGAATTATACACCCCTTTTGATTGATCAAAAGTGATCTGTTTGGGAATGGACACCCAATTTATAGAACAAATAGATTTAATGATGCCTTGCATCTATTCAGTAATATATCACTAAGGATTTCAAATTATTGACATGCTCAGCTATACCTTGTGTGCACCTTTTTTGTTTTTGCCACATTTAAAGGTCATCTGATCAATAACTGAACATATGCACTGCAATATAACTCATATTTGTTTCATAGATATCAATATATCATATATATACTGCTCCCGCAATTTCTTAACTTTATCTACAACAGAATTCCTTAAGTTTATCTGTAACATTAGCTGATAATCCCATTTGTAAATGAGCATTGTTCACTATATAAATGCTTATGACATTGATGTGTAAAAAAAAGGAAAGATTGGGAGAGGGGAAGGCAAGTTGAGATAATCTAT